TCTTTCTCTTTCTCTTCCTTTTTCTTCCTTCCTTTCTTTTTTCCTTTTTTTTTTTTTTTTAACAGTAAGAAAGTTTCCTTATCTAGAAACTGAAGTTGTATTTGGCTGTCCTACCGCAGAGGGTGTTAGGAGCTACATAAGCATCTGAGGAATGCTAGGGTGGCTCCCTCTACCATTCTGAGCTCCGGGAAACTTATGAGTCCACTTTCGTTGATGATAATCCAAAGACCTACTCTCTTTAGTTGTCACAGATAATAATTTCACAGCAGGTGTGTTTTCATTTATTTAACGGATAATAGCTGGAGGCCTGAATGAATCAGCTGCTATGATGGATAGAAGGAAACTTAAAACATGATACCAGCCCCTCCTTGAGGGACTTAAAGGTCTCATTCAGAAGATTTCATAACTGATGTGTTCTGAAGATCATCGTATTTGAGCCAAAAACAAAAACTAAAAAAACCCCAAACTGGACTTTTAGAAGCAGCTCCTCCAATTCTAAATGGCCTCTTAGGCAAGTCATTTAAATGTGTCTGTCTTAGTTTCCTTATATAAAATGAAGAAGTCATATGTTCTGTGATTTTTTTTCTTTTTCTCTGGGAAAGCCCTCACCAGTTGCAAAGTGTTGGAATTGTAGATTCCATAACTTGGTGAAATACTAAATGATGATGCCAGGCAACATGCACAATAGGTGCTGGGTGAGTCTGGAGGGGCTTTGGAGCGATGGATGGATCTGAGAGTGGAGGGGTGGGAGCGGGCAGCTTCCCAGGGGAGGGGGCTGAAGCTGCACTGGGAGCTGGCACAATCTGTCCATTCGGGAAGGTGGGGACAGCCTCTGTGAAACCAAAGGCTGGAGGCTAAAGGAACAAGGGCGGCAGAAAGTAGTCCAATCTGACAGAGGCCGATTAGTCATGGAGAAGTGTTGGGAGAGAATGCTGGGAAGAACCAAGGAAAAGACAGACAAAGGGAGACTGTGGATAAAGTTATTCTATAGGCGGTGGGAAGTATCAGGAGGTGTTCTGAGCAAGGGGAGGCACATAATGAAAGGATCATTTTAGGAAGAATAATCTTATGAGAATATAAAGTATAAGAGAGAGAGAGAGAGGGATGGAGGGAGGGAGGGAGGGAAGGAGGGAGAGAGGTGGAAGGCTGGAGAGAAAGAGAGAGAGAGAGGGAGAGAGAGAGAGAAAGCGCGCGCGCAAGTGAGCGCTGGAAGGATTGGGAGGGATAAAGACTGACCATTTGAAGAACAAGGAAAATGCAGCTGGCAAGAGTGGGACCTGAACCAGGTGTGGGCTGTGAGATTGGACAAGAGAGCTTAGAGGTAAGAGAGAGCACAGCGGGAGAATGCCCTGCCCTGGTGACTGAATGAAAATGTAGGCAGGAAGAGAAGGGAGCCGGAAACGTGTCAGTGCCTAGAAATGGAAGAACAAAGGAATTCAGGAGGGCAGCCAGACTAAAAGGAAAAATGACAGATACAATTTTCAACATATATTTTTAAATGACAATAGAATATTCAAGTGGAAATATCTAGAAGATAGAAGGATTCTTGGTACAGTATAATTTACATAAAGATTAACTGGAAGAACATGCTAAGCTCAGCAGGTAAGAAGGTAAAAGCAGACAATAAACACTCAGGGAGTGACCTCTGAGCTATTCCACATGTAAAGCACAGGTGGTAGAGAGGAAACAGAAGAAAAGGCTGAAAAGAGCATGGTTCCTGATAGTGAATGATGCCTGGCATTAGCAATAGGCATTAAAACTGCACTTTAAAAAAAGGGCAGTTTTAATGGATCCCCTGCCTGGAATCCAGAGCTTTCACACTAAGGAACTCTAAAGATGGGAACGGAGCAGGGGAAATGGCCTGGATCCCACTCCCTGAAAACTCAGACTCTTGTCCTGAGGTCCTACTGGAGCACCTGAGGATGGCAGTACTAGAACTTCTAAAATGGCTAACTTCTGGATTTTAGATGTCCATGTCCATCTCTGTGCCAGACACTCTCAACCACATACCCAGTGTCCATTCCCTCCTCTTTTCCGTGCTAACCGAACCTCCCTGTCTAAGCAGTGAAGCACTCGGCCCTAAATGAGACGCTGGCTTCTGAAGTCTCTCTTGTAAGTAGGGGTCTGGCCAACGAGGTGAGAGCAGGAGGCCCCTTGGAGCCGTGGGAAGGCTCTCGCCCTCCCTCATAGAAGCTTCTCTGCTCCTGCAGCTAAACATATTTCTCACTAATACAGCATCTTTTACCTTTTCAGATCCACAGTGGTGACATTGAACACGACTCCTTTCAGCCAAAGTATCATAAAGAGACGCTGAGAGAAGGGACAGTTGCCAATGCTTTCCCCGTCAATTCCAGCCTAGAAAGAAAAGAACCAGAGTCCTGAGTCAGTGTGTGCATGTTAGCAGGGAGGAATACATCCTTGTCGTCCTAATGTCTATGCAGGACGATGCCTGGCACAGGCATATGTACTGAACTTAACTTGAGTTTCCAGCATGGCGATTATGTAGAGTCATAACTTTCTGGAACCACAGAACCCTAGCATCTCAGGGTAAAAAAGCCTTCGTTATCACACAGTGTAACACCAATGATACTGGACCGCCAACTGCTATACCCCCAAGTAATCATCTGGTCCGTGCACGAGTATCTCCACTAACTTATAATTTATATCCATCAAAGCAGTCCTAACAATTATAAATGCTTTTCTTTGGTATACCTAACCACAACATGTTCCTCTGTAGTTTACCCTCTTCCACCCTCTGGTCCTTACTCCATGAGTACAAATACTTCAGACTTTGATCCCATCTCCTAAATCTCACTAGTCAGCAGACTGAAGACTTTAAATCAATACCCAACTTAATTCTGACTACTACTTGACCTTCGGTGTCAATAAACCATTCATTTCAAATTATCCTTTTACTGAATAAATACATATTGGCTATCAATTATGTGCAAGACACCAGAGAAAACGGGAGTCAAAAATGCATTTACTCAGGGAGCCGATGATCTTCTGCGGGGGGGTGGGGGGGCGCTGGGAATAGACAGGAACACAAGAATAATGATAACAGGGCTTGGGTATTTTGGCTCATTACATTTCTCCTTCTCAGTACCCTCCTCAAAATGACATGTATTATGTTTTTGTTTTTATTCTTTTAACATCTGCAAGGCAAGTCTATCTTTACTTCTAAGTGGACTACAGAGACACAAATTTTATAAGAATTCATTTTCAACAAACACACAAACAAACAGAAAGGTCGAGTAACTGATCTTTTATTTCCACTGAGTGGTTTATTGTTCCTCGACAGAGTACTTACAAGGAGAAATCACCCACTCACTCTAGTTTGCTATTGGCTCCCCTGGAAACTGTGGCCTCATCTGGTGGCCCTGGCACCCAGCTTCACTGACAGAGAGGCTGGGGGAGGGGAGGCCCCCAGGCTTACTCATAAAGCTGTGAACAATCCAACCATCGTACTGGAATGAGGATTTGCTAAGTTTTTTTTTTCTTTTTTCTTTCTTTCTTTCTTTTTCTTTTCTTTCTTTTTTTTTTTTTTGAAAGAAAAGAAAAAAAATGCATTCTCAAAGCTCAACACATTATTTCCCCCTTGAGGTTCGTTTTGCTCAGGACTCCGAATAGAGAAGGAGTGATGCCTTCTTTCATACATGAGAGCCTAATTGTGTGCTTATTTCTGTCTTGCAAATCATTCCCAGCAGAGGCTCAGGTTTACAATGGAAAACTGGCGCCTGTGATGGTGTTGGTAGTAGGTAATTGCTATGAAATTACAGTTATTTTACCTCTCTCTTAACTACACCAAGAGCCCCATCCCTATTCAGTTCTCACTTTTCCTGCGTGCTAGAAACAGACGTACCTCTGAGTAGTTGAGACGCCATGGGCTCCGTTATACAAAATCTGAAAGGTGGGAGGGCACAATGTGGCCGCCACCCCTGCCGACAGAGCTAAAGTTACCGATAAAACCACACTCAGATAGGCAACTATTAATTTAATAAAGAAGTGCTCACTCAACAGGTACCTGGTTCTTGGTCCTTTAAGACATCATGACAAAGGAGCTTTTCCCCAGGGTCTGTTGTAATGTCAGTGACAAGCAGAGAATTAAAAAATGAAAAATTAAAAGCCACATTCACATACTAACATGTGTTTTACATCTGGTAGTAGCGGTGGTGATGGCGGGGGCAGGTGATAAAGGAATTGAAGAAGCTAGTAAAATATTGGAATTATTATTAGCTGGACAAAAAGAATCATATAATAATAATGTTAATAATACCAACTGATGTCTATATTGTCAGGCATTGTTCTAAGTGCTTTACATATATTATTAACTCATTCCTATGAGCAGTGAAATATCATCTCTTTTTTACAGAAGTGAAAACTGAAGCACAGAGAGGAGAAATAACTGGACTAAGGGTCCCAGGATTGAACCCAGGTGATGTGGCTTTGGACCCAGAGCCCGTAACTGCCATGCCCAGAGTTTAACCTGAAGCCCAGACAGGTAACATGTCCACTCACGGTCACAGAGCTGAGAGGTGATGATGCCATAACTGAGTGCATACATCCTACTCTTTAGTCCATGTGCATTCAGCCATGTCAGAGATGGAGAGGGTGGTGGCTTTCATAGTTCCCCATACTTCCCTTATTGTTGTAAATTATGATTCTAGGCCTAGTAAATAAAAATTGCCAAAAGAACAATAGAGATAATATGTGAGGATGCTATCATTTACCTTTACTGTCTTTGCATCCTTCTTTCAGCTTCTTTTCTATTCTATTCTATTCTATTCTATTCTATTCTATTCTATTCTATTCTATTGAGAAAAGATCACTTAACATGGCATCTACTCTGTGAACAAACATTTAGGTGTACGATACATTATTGTTGACTGTAAGTACAATGTGGTATAGCAGATCACCAGAGCTTATTCATCTTGCCTAAATGAAACTTTATGCCCATTGTTTAGCAAACTCATGGGTTTAAAAGAGAGAGTTTGTGACAATCCCTTGAAATATCAACCAAGAAGAATTAGGTGGGGCTCAATTTGACCCCTGGCCCTGAAAAGTGTGAGGGAAAATCCAGATGGACTTTGGCCCAAAGAGGCTCCGAGCAATGGAGGCTGGAGATAGGCAAAAAAGTGGTGTACTAGGTTGAATTGTGTCCCCCTCAAATTCATGTCCACCTAGAACCTGTGAGAGTAACCTCACTTGGACATAAGGTCTTTACAGATGAAATCAAGTTAAAACGAAGTCATATTGAATTAGGGCAGGCCCTAAATATGACTGGTGTTTTTATAAGAAGGTGGAAATTTGGACACAGACAACAAGGGGCATGTTCACATGAAGACAGAGACAGAGACAGAGATTGGAGTGATGTATCTACAAAGAAACACTAAGGATTGCTGGCAAATACCAGAAGCTAGAGAGACAAGAAAAGGATTTTTCTCTAGAGATTTTAGAGAGAGCATGGACCTGCTGATACCTTGATTTCAAACTTTCATTACCATTAACATATGGTAATACAATTTCTGTTGTTATAAGCCACTCAGTTTATGGTAATATGTTATGGCAGCCCTAGGAAACTAATGTAAGCAGGAAAGGGTCAAAAAGAAAATGATGTATAGCTAATAACAAAATTCTCAAGTTCATAGTTCTGCTTTGCCATGGGCCTAAGGAGCATGCTCATAAATGCCAGCTAGCTACAAGCTCAAAGTACTTCCTATTCCCTAGATATAGTAAATGTATTTATTATAAGTTACACTGTTATACTCTGTTATACACTATGTTATACTATATTATATACTATAAGTCACAATAAAACTATTCGATAGCATACAATATTACATGTGATGATAATGATAGCATGATGTAATTATATAGGTTGTATGATTATATAATATATATTATATGCTTGGTAAGTTACATTGTATTGTATGAGACATTGCCTTTCATGTGATTTCTCCATCTATACAGTGAACTTATCTACCCTCAAAACATGGGCCATGTTTTATTGACTTTGCCTTCAGCAGCAACAAGCACAAGTGCCTGAAACTTAACTGATGCTCAATGCCTCGTAGAGCAGATGCATGTTGAGGGGAAAGGTGATATCACTCTCTTTTTATGGCTTGAGTATCTCAAAATTCTGATGATGGCATTCTGAAGAGTGTCCTGAGGAAAAAGCAGATCATGGTTCTAGGTCTGCATCTGCCTCTAATTTGTTGTATGACCTTCAGTAAGTCAGTTACCTCCCTCTCTTGACCTCAGTCATTGCATTTATGACTTCCTGCAATTTCGCGAATTCAAGCGGCTAATGGAGATTTATTTAGACAGCCTCAGAATCCTTGTATGACTTTAAAGATTGTTGAGGATCTCAAAGGGCTTTTTTATGTGGGTTATAGCTATCAATATTTGCTATATTATAAGTTAAAGTTGCAAATATTTTAAATCTTTATTCATTTAAATATTATTATAATAATACATACATTACGTGTTAACATAAATAACATATTTTAATATAAAAGAAATTTAGTAAGTAAATTGGTTGGAGAACATGAAGAAATTCTGGCCTTACATGGAGATACAGTTGAAAAAGGGAGGAGTAATTTAATATCCTTTTCAGATAACTGTGGGTATTTTTCTTTAACACGATACCGAAACTCACAAGTGGTAGTATCTTAAAAGTTAACTGATAGGAGGAATTTGAAACTCTATCAATGACTTTCTTTTGTTCCACGAAAATCCATTCATCTAACTTGCACTTTGAATGGATCTTTTACCCCTGAATGATTTTGTGGCATCATAAATTCGTCATTTGGAAAATAATGTTTCACTGTGTTGTGGAGATCTAAATGCTGATACATTTCATTATGCAATATCAAAGTATCTCATTCAGCAGTATCACCACTAAGCTCACTAGAAAAGTTTTAAGTAAAAAGAGAAGCTGCCACGCTCATGGTGGCAGATACGTGTTTTCCAATACTCTAATTTTTCTTGAAAGCTTGTATTTTATCACTGGCAATAAACCAGTTGTTATCCTTGAAATGACAAGTTTATGTCACTGATCTTGCAGGAAATATCTGTCAAATGCCAAGTCTGAAAACCCATAGTTTGCTCATTTCTCTTTCAAGTGAAACCTGTGATCTGTGGAAGAAGCGGCTGGTTCAGTTCACAACTCAATCGCACATATGCTTTTCCTCAGACAACTACTGTACTTCGATGCAGCCAAAGAGCTTTCTGTGCATTTCCGATTTCATCAGGCAGAATGATTAAGGGACACATACTCTAGGGTTGAGACTTAGTTACATTATCTACTCTTCGCTGCTTCATCAAGGACATTCACAAATGAGACCAGCTCTTCT